TAGTTTAATTAATATATAAATTATTCATCGCCTGCTATAATATATAAGCGACGAACACGTATTTGAGCATTTTATGGCTTACAAAAAGTTAGTAATTACATTAAAAAAAAACAGAGAAATTCATTGCTTAATACAATCAAAGACATATTTTTTTCACTATATATTAGGTTTTTATTAAAAAAAAAAAAAACACTAGAAATAGTGCACTTAAAATTTAAACTAACTAAACTAGATGCACATCACTTAGCATACTCTAATAGGTTTTAGAATATTATGACCATTTGATTAATGAAATAGACCCCACAGTGTGCATAACATAAAATGCAACAAGTAGTGTGGTCTATTATTTATAAACGATATGCGAATATAAATGTTTGAAATATGTTCGATTCGGTAAGGTCAACATTTTTGTTATTTTAATTTGTATAATCAAATTTATTGTTTTGAGTGGGTCAGTGTAATGAAACAATGGTAATTGTAAACAAACTGGTGTGAGTGTAAATGTATCATTTTTACAAAACACAACTATAAATGTGTTTTAGTTTAACACGTGTAACATAATTTTAATGAAATTTTATTTATTGAAGTTTTAATATGGATATGTTTTTGAAGTGATTTAAATAATTAGAGAATAATAAAAAACAAATGGTTGTGGTCATGATGAAAACTGGACCGACTGGTTAATATCTGTGTAGCACATAGATTAGAAATATTATATTGTTGATACTAAATTTAGATAAGCACTGATTGTTTAAAAGGTCAAATTTATTTTTAAAAAAGGTAATTTTTAATAATAATTTTAGAGTATAGTGTTGAAACTTAGAACACAACACAAGCATTTTTGCTTTGTGCAGTATAAAGTAAATATGACTTAGTTGCTAATTTGTTACTACTCTTAAGGTAGTTAAGAGTAGTTTAAGTTATAATTCAAAATTGATGACCGACATGGTTTAGGCGTGTACGATTTATTGGTTTCCACAAATCCGTTTTGACATAATATTGGCTATATTGCATTTTTAAACATAATTTTCAAGATTCAAAAACAAAGCGCCTTTTTCCTTGTACCCTTCAAGTATATGATAATTTGCAGTACACACTACAACTGCAACGTTTACAACGGGGTTTACATAGATTCTTAAAACGTATCTTTGCCACTTGGGATACAACGTTGAAGTGTTTACTGGTTCAACACAAACGGTAGTGCTGATTTAGGTATAGTCTCATAGGGCCAACAGACAACAGTAAGTTTATTGTAAACAACAGATAAGTCGGTCCCTTAGCGACGTCTACTTTGAATGACTAATCGACGGATATACCTAGACAAACAGGATTTCTCGAGACGATTAATATTCCGGCCGTATGATTCTATACAAACCGTTCTATGTGATTTGTATTGTATTGATAATGTCTTACGACGATGGCCGTGTGCATATTATATTATAAGACCACATAAGACGAGTTAACGGATGTTCGCCAAAGTAATACTCATGTTTCATGCAAACGGAAGTCATGCTAAACTCATCGTAGTAAAACGTTTAGACGTTTTAATGTTTTTTTCTGACGGACCTTATACCTGGTCATGGGTCGCTAAATTATTAAACAGTTATAAATAAATATAATTTTGGTGTTTGTAGTATTTCTCCCTAGTCGTCTGGATTAACTACTTTCAAGTTTAATTTTAATTTAATTGATGAAAACGGTCTTGGGCAATATTTTTACCCAAGAGTTTTTGAGGCTAGAAAGAACGTGAAAATTGTAAAGCCAATCTTAGCTGTTTGACTAAAATATATTATAAGGCTTGGACCTAAAAAGGCTAATGTTAATTTTGCACATAAACGAGTTAATCCACTAAAACAACAATTGAATAGCTTATGAAAAGTTTGCTAAAAAAATAAAATAGAGCCCAATGGAAAATACAAAATTTAAAGCCCATTTAACAAAATTCACAAAAAGTGAGATTGGTCTTTTTTGACCCTAACCTAAAATTCTATTCTACAAAATTATCGAGATGGTTTTTTTTAATTATTCGATTTCTGTATCTTCACACTGATAATATTTAAGATATATCAAAACTGATGTTTATCTCAAAATTAAAATGATTTATACAATTGTATTTTTTTTAACTATAACCACTATATAGTTAGTCACGTTCCTCCAGAAATCACGTGGTATTGGGACAAAACATATTTTATTAAGTAATAATGTTGATTTCGGAAGTAAGTACCTACATTAAAAAAAATATATATATATCATGCAACTAATATTGTGAGGTAGCTCAAACCTTTTATTGGCATAAGTCGAGGTTAAACATTAATAAATCATACTTGTTTCAACTGAAGGAAATATAATATCTAAGTTGACTTATCCTTTTCTGTCCTAAAAAGCACAGATTCATTCAATGGTGATATCGTTTGCCCCTGCCCTTGTAGTAGCCCTGCCTTGGCTTAAAAACTTTACAGTTCCTCTTTATCCCACTAGAAATAAGCCAATGTATCAAAATATCTGCTTGAACGGCCAATAATTGCCAACGTAGGTAATTAGCCATTTAATCGACTTGTGCACTTCGCTAACGTTGATCTCTCCTTTCAGTTGCTTAAGCCGCGCCTGGCTGTTCTTTTATGTTGTTATTATGATGTATTACTATTAAATGGTTTATTTATAAAATAAGGAGCAAAACGTAAAAAGTATAATATCCGGAAAACTTAAAAAAAAGTTACTTACGGTGAAAAAAAAATCAGCATCTAACTAATAATATATCGTACCTATAACTTTACATTGAGTGTAAATATCGAAGAAAAGTCAATGTAAATTAAAACACCCTTTATATTGTGTAAAAAAATGTCATTCCATTGACAAAAATTAAAAAAAGGTACGAGGAGTTAGTGAAAAGTTAAACACAAAGCCTTTAAAAGAAAACAAAAACTTCAGTTCAGTCGCTAAAAAGTTAGAAAAAGCTGGATTGATCTCTTCTAGGCTAAAAGTAAACTATACAAATTAAAATTTCAGAATGGTAAAAATTACATTACAAGTATATTAACATGTAAAGGGATAAAAGGAACTAAACTCTACTTTTAAGGGTTTATGACACTTCCCAATAACAATTTTAAATTAAAAAATTCCACCAACGTAAATTTAATCCGTTTTTTTGTTCCCTTCAAAATTTGTTTACCCAAACTTTTGTTTGATGTTTTCATTAAGAAACGACTTAACCATTCGGTGCATAATTTTATTATGTTTTTTTTTAACGAAAACTCGTTTATAAAACTAATTTAAAGCTCTAAAATTGTATGTTGGTCGTAAAAAAAAAATATGAGTTTTGAATGTGCTGTGAAATTGCAGTATAATACAATTAATTTGTGTTAAGAAATAGTCTAACATATATTAGATTTAGTTGTTTAATAATAACAAAAAAAAAAAAAACAAAGAATTAATTAAATCAAATGACATTCTAAACATGATAATATTAAGATGTTTTATGGCTGGAGGTCAGATCAAAATATTTTATGTAACTTATTTCAGTAGATTAAAATGATTAAAATCTGTCCCGTTAAAACATTATAATTTTGCCCAATTTAGTACTATCTATTTAACGTATAGAATATAAAGCCTAAAGAGTTTTTTTTAAAAGTTTCAAAGACAGAGTTATATAATATAGTCAGGATCTTATAGTCTTATCCGTGAGACATTGCGGGCGCATTTTCGCAGTAGACACGTGTAAATAAAACGTAAGCTTTCCACGATCAAACAACAATAGCCAGGTGAGGTCAAGCACACCAACCGTCCACAATAACTCCTCCCAGCCCCAAAGAAAAACGTGTCAGCGGGTGACCTGCGCCCGTGTTCCAGAAATGAGGCGCGCGCGATTTCCCGGGAAAACAAACCGGAATTAAGGCCACAGCCATATAAGTAACCAAAAACCGTGATTACGCCGGGCTTGTTGGTTTTGTTTTTGTTGTTCAGTGTTTTTCTTCTTTTAGCTTCTGGACATTTTGAATTGGGTTCTAATCGTGTAGTAAAAAATCGGACGGACTCTGTACATCAGGAACAAACCTACATCCATTTTTTGGATTTATTTCTTTTCACTAAATCTGCACCTGGCCTCAGAATTTCACAAGACGAGCCAATTATTCGTAAAATTACCTCCAAAGTTGTAAGCAACACCGTTTCGTGATTGTTTCGCTCTGTAAAGTTCATCGATTTACTGATGGTCTTGACTGCGTACATAGTTTTTTAAATTTTATTTACTTTGATGAGCAAAAAACTGGCTTGGAAAATAATAAATTTCTGATTTTCGTTTTGTAAGTGATTTACAACTATGGAAACGATTTAAACAATAAATTGAGGGGCTAGAACAATAGTTCTGAGACAAAATATGGATTCACCAAAAAATTAAAAAAACTTATACAATTTATACATTTTGTTCTAAAAACGGTTTGTTCTAAAAAATATAGTCAAACAGTCAAGGTGTTAACAGTTAACATGTTTACCTTTACCTAATTACTTAACAAATACGTACTATTCATTAAAAGTATAGTTTGTACTAAACCGACATTGTACAGCAAAATGTCTTATTTATTTGAAACATAACCCAAGTTATTTACCTATTTATATTTTAAATTGCATTTTTTCTCTGAATCTGCTTCGAAATTGTTTCAGTGTCAATAAAAGACAATAAAACGTTCAATTTATTATTCTATTACACGACCAACGGCTAATATTGAACACATATTTTCTTAATAACTGTGCGAATATAAATGCATACAGCACTTTGTTTTTTTTTTAAATAACTATTAATAATGAGTTTGTTTCGGTTCTAGCAATTAACAATCCAGATTAAGCTCTCCACTTTAGTCATTCTTAATTTATTTGCCTGATTTCGATCAATCCTCATGAGGCGTATCGAAGAAAACGTTTCAACCGTGTTTACGGTTGTCGCCACTATTTATGTATATATATATATATATATTTTTTTTTAGGCGTTATATTATTATTATACTCACTTGATGAACATGTACACTCCGGTGGGTTCCATGGCTCTGGATATGCCTTTCCACGATGCGATCATGCTGTATTTCTGTTTGGCCGTCAGGGGAAGTCGCGGGTCGGGCGGCCCGGGACTAGGCGGCTCCTCCAACCTGTCCTTGTGTTTACTACCGGCACCGCGGTCATCGCCGGACGCGGCCGAGCTGGCCAATTTGCCCAGGTCGCAGCCCATGCGAAACGGATTTTTCCAAATATTATTATTATTATTTTTTTAATTAAGAAAAAAAAAAAACCTGGAATTTTTATTTGCTCTCCAGACGAACACACAGCACAGCACAACACGGCGGCGCTCGTGCCGCGTACTTGCGACCGTACCGCGTTCTCGTTGGCCCCAACACCGGAACAACACTGCCGCCGCCTTCGCCGCTTAGCTCGCCCGTCAGGTTGCCCGACCAAACGGCTAGAGCGGCCGCCACCGCTGCCGTCGTCGCAGACCACACACACAAACGCACGGGAGGGCGCGCTCGGTCGCGCACACGCACTATAAACGCCCAATGTACAATAGTGATAATACCCTCTTCAGCTGTGGCCAGAGCACACGGGCGGCAAAAGTGGAAAATATAATTTTCGGGGTTAGCAAAGTCTATGTGTGTGTGTGTGTGTGAAGATACCCGGTGGTAAAAACAACAACAACAAAAAAACACTGTAGAAAAATTTCTACCGAAAAGCCATTATATTTACCAGCTCGGCGAACGTTCGGACGAGCCGCGTTTTTTCAGCGGGCGCGACACTAACGCTTCCCGGACGAACCCGGCACCTGAACATTGTCACTGTGTATACCTCTACACACGCACAAACTATAGTAAAACGACAATATAAGCACCGCTAAACGGCTATTGCTTTTGTTTTCGTTCGGTTAATAGCTTCTTCCCCTAGCCCCCGCGAGCCACCGCAAAGACTATTGTTCACCCATTACCCTTTAAAAAAAAAAAAATGGTCTAGTTAGTTCAACATTTCTATGTGGTATTCTCTATTGATACACAGTACTATATTGGCACGCTACGACAAACCGAAAAATTAGGTTCCAACATTTTCCTCTTTTCTTCATTTTCCGTTTTACCTTTTATGGTTTTTGGTTCTTTATTTGGTTAGTCAACGTTTATTGATAGCAGTTTATTTAAAGAATACTTAATTACACATTTGGAACTAATTTGACTGTTTTCAAAAAAGTTATAACGTGCCTTAATTGTGCATAAAGTACGTACATAACACATATTTATACTTTTATTTCATAGTTTTATTTAGTCGTATTAAAATCATGTAAGCCAAAAATAATTTTATTTCCAATAATAATCTTATGATAGTTACAACACATTCGACATGGCATGATTGAATGAGTTTTGATTAACTAATCCTAAACACAAAGACTATTGTAATGTACCTATACTAACTTCTTCTGTAACATCTATCAATTTTTTTGTACGACCTGTTTGGTAGCCACTTTGGAGTTTAGTTAGGATTAAAGATAGTTTCGTCCTGACCCGAGTTGTAACTGAAACCCAGTCGTGTCAAATGATCGTTTATGTGTCCAATGTAATCGTCTATTTTGTTTACAAAGAAATTGTAGCTGTAACTTGTGGGATTTTGACGCTCGTGCTCGTTCATCAATTCCTCTAGGTCGAACGGTCTGTACTCTGGATGACAGTTGGACACCATAAATCTGTGCAAGAAAAGTGTGACTTTATTCAATAGATAGCCAAAATCAAAGCCCTCCTGTGACACCCCAGTAAACTCCACCACTTTGCGCTGTGTGAGAAAATTTCGGATCGGCACCATTGCTTGGTAAAACTCGTCCAAGTCAATGTCGTCGCCGATTATGTTGTGAATGTGTGTCAACACGCGGTTCACTTTCAACATGGTAAACGAACCTCTCTCGAGACAACCTTTGAGCTTGTCCCAACAATCGCCGGTCTGGCCGTCCTGGTCTCTGGACAGATAATTGCACTCGCCAATAACGTGCACAGCCGAAGAGAGGAACCAGTTTATTCTTAGCCCGTAAGCGCATCCCATCATCAGTGGGATCTTTTCCAATTTTTTCCTCGCGTCGAATTCGGACTGCGGGTCAAGTAAACCGCTCACTTGTATCCAATCGTCTTCTTCGGTGACGAAATCAAACCACAAGTCCAGCCAAAGTTGCGCCTTAAGTACACCGTCGCACAGGTCGGCTTGAGCTTCGGTCAGGTTCGCCCGTACTTTAGTTCCGTCGTGCACGTGCGCTAGTAAAATGGCAATTACTAAACCGGTGTGCATTCTAAACGGTTTAGATATAAGACACAAAATCATACTGAAAGGTACTACTCGCCTAGTCCACACCGAAAACTAGAATGTCTCTCTGAATATATCCAATACAGACGGTGTGGTAGACAACCGGATTTGCAAAACACTGAAAATTGTTTGCCTCCAACGTATGCTGAACGTCTACGTAAACAACATAAATTGATGAAACATCAATTTGTTTAGTTTATTTATGGAATTTTCTGCAATAACAATAGTCTGGGTTCGAAGATTACAATAATATATATATTTGACGATATTATTATATTCTCAAAACTCGGCCTGTGTGTGCAAAATATGGACGCCAGACGGTGTTTATTAATAGATACAACACATATTGTGACGCATTAAAAACATACTAGTTTTATTTCAAAAATATTAATTCGAAAGTCGATGAACTGATGAACAAAAAACAAGTACAGTGCAGTGGGGACATAGTGGGGCACAATGCAATCGGCGAGGCCACAGGTCTGTCAGCAGCTAATTTAATTGAATGTGATGAAATCACTTTGAAATAAAAATGTCGAAAGCATACCTTTGGTGTAATTTCCATCTAAAATAGCTAAATAAAGAAAAAGGTCCTACCGCATCTGGAGTAAAATTCCAATGTCACGAATGTGGACTAATGTAACTAAAATCGTTAAAAATGGTCCAACTAGTTGTTGGACCATTTTTAAACAAGTTATAGTAGTTACTAGTTTTACGTTGGAAAATATTTTAATGTTTAGGGCGCATTTTTGACTTTGTAAGAGGAGGGGTGAAAATCTAAAATTTCTGGCCCAAAATATTGTCTTTCAGGTACGATTTCTGATCTTTATAGTTGCCACGCGAAGAAATCAGTTCAGCGGTTTAAAAGATATCGTGGGCCTGACAAAAAATAATTAAACAAACAGCACATTATTGTAAAAACAATTACTTTCCAACTGTAAGCATAGTAAATTGCATACATTGCTGTATGTGAGTAAATCAACAGTCAACAGGTATGTTAAAAAAACATTCTCATTATATTGTTCATTGCGGTTTATAAATAACAACGGCAAAAACTTGTTACAGACAGACAATCATCCCTAATCGTACCTGTCATAATAATAAAAATACAATAAAAAGCTGATAATTTAGCATTATTTGCGTTTACAATGGTTTTTATCGATTACAGGTATCCTAATTATATATGTTAATAATCACAATACGAGTATACGGGTAACAACAGCAACAAACTGTTAGGGAATACTGACCCTATTCGTACCCACCCTATTACAGAAGGTATAAGGTCACAATATTGTTTTAATGATGTAAAAAATATTTTTACGCATACAATTTTCATTAGGATATTCTCAACTTAAAATTGAAAAAAATTACATTTTTTTTTTTATTATTGAGACAGGTTTTAATAACAAAGATTATTAGCCAAGTTACATAAGGCAAAAGAAAACAGGTTAATCAACTATGTACAAATAAGAAGAAATTTACAATTCTTTTAATAATAATAAGTTAACTTCGTTGAAGAATTGACAGGTAATATTTGCGTTGTCTTCATTGTTCATTTAACACTTTTTACCATATTATGCACAGTTTCGCATCAAAGCGTTTATTTGAAAATTATTTTATCACTTTCAACTATAATAATTCCTAAAGACCTGGGTTCTGTATATGCTATGCCCATGTAGTGGGACTAATGAGACACTCTGTATAAAAATGTAAACGCACATAGGTATTATTATTATATTATCACACCACGAGCTCACCAGTCACGAAGCTTTATTTTTTTTTAACAATTTGCTAATACAGATTAACTCACACTAATCTCCAATGCACATTTACAATACTATACAACGGTAATATTGTGTAACACGTTCACTCGTCACGTTCAAGTGTCATTTGTCGGTGATTATAAAGAAAAATGTCGATTACCTGCGTTTAGTATTTTATTGTATTTGTATTTTCATCATAGCCGGCTATTATATTATGGTTTAGAATTTAGATAATAAAATGGTGTGTTCCGTGTGTTGACGGGATAAGAGATTATGCATGTTATAATCTATATATGTATATATATTAGAAAGTCTTATAGTATATGGAATGGGCGTGTAGGGCGTAACGAAAATGCATGTCAATGATGTACTACAAAGGATGTATTTTGCAAAGAAAAAAGTGTTAACCTTTTTGAATTGATTTGACAGGTCACATTGTGATGAAAACTAAATGAAAAATATTTACACTTCCTCGTGTTAACTTTTCTATACACTGCATTTGTCAGTTTACTAAATACTATTTTGAGTATGACGTTCAATTGGAAAGTAGGTAAATTTGTTATTTGATCATTTTATCATATAATTCAATTATTACAATGCTGTTTTTATTAATACGGTTTTCAAATAAACGCTTAAAAACCACCCCTTTTACAAAACAAATTAATTGGTTTTTCACCAAATTATGTTTTTTTTTTAATAATATAAAACCAATTTTTAGTAATAACAATAATACAATTTAATTTAATTTTTCAACAATATCACATCATTGAAAAACCAATACCGTTGCATACCATGGTATTTTAGCTAAAATAATTGATATTTGCTTCTTCAATAGGTAAAAAAAAATTTTAATCGTTCGAGTTGTATTAAAAAGATTATAGGAAAAATATTGAAAGTAATAATAGTTTATAACAAATGCTCAAAATTTGAAAATTTTATTTTTCCAAAATGTATACTCTTTTTGTTTTAATTTTAGAACATTTACTTGAGCGCGAGCTTGAAAATTGTGAACTCAAAAATATGTTTAAGCCGCTCCTTAAACAAAATATCTTCTACGTTTTAGGTACAAAGTAAGACCTCTTAATCATATAAATTTTACACTTATATACGTTAGAAGGACTTAAAGAAATATTCTTCTTTAAAATAAACTCCGTGTATTTGTAATATACTTCAAAGGTTTGATTAAGTGGAATTAAATAAAAGTCAACATTTACACAGTCACGGTAAAACAAAATGCAAGCAATCCTAATACATTCGAAATTAGAATATTAAGTTCTGTAGAGGCCGGTGAAGATTTTCTAAACGTTTCGTTAGTCAGACAGGATTCGCCAATCGCATCTTAACTTTTGTTCTTATAGTTAAT